AACTAAACATGTGTTTGATTCACTAAAATGAACCGACTCAGTAGAGCGATTCATTCGATAATCACGCTGCTGTGCCTTTCTGGCTGCGTGTGTTTTTGATTGATTCATTGAAAAGATCCGACTCACAAAGAACCGTGCGTTAACGAATCGGACATCCAATGTAGTTGTGTGTGATTAGTGAGTGATTTGCAAACATTGAAAGCAAGGCAGTTCGTCCGGCTAACAATTGGCTAACTCAGCTAATCAGATTTCTAGAAAGAAAGAAGCTACCAAACTAACATCCCATAAATATTATTAGTTACTACAGCGATTGCTGGCACACAATAAGAATACCTGACGAAGTCTGAACATAATGGTAGGTATGGAGGGTGAGTTCCTTATTTTCTATATCACTCATCGCTAGCGTGTCGTTAGCCAAATTTCTATTATCGGCACGAGCACAGGTTGATCTAACCTCACCAAATGTAACGAACTGACACGTATGCTTTAGTTAAACACCGATACTCCGATATATGAAACGAAATAGAAGAGGATGATAAAGTTGGTGTTTTTTGTTTGACAAGAACTGCATTAAAAGATCGTTTGATGTTCTTCCTTATCTTGAAAGGGGAAAGAATAGAAAACAACTTGACAAAAGTTTCAGCCATCCCCCAAAAACGAAGTTATAAAGTTGTATTTTGATATCCGCCCTGTTATATTATACCATAATAGCTTTTGATGCAGCCATAGCAAACGACGTTATTCTAATAGCTACGAAGAAGGAACTTTTGTATAAGTCTGGCCTGGTTTGTCATAATAATGATTTTATGTTATTTATGTTTTTGTTTGAATATCTATTCCGTGTTGTTTTTATTGTTTCTTCCTTCAACCAAACTATATTGATGTGTTTTATTTATTTATTCGAGTAATTTCACTTCTACTTGACCACATAGTGATCTCATTGTTCTGTAGTAAAAACATCTTAACTGTAAGTTAGTTAGGGAGGAGTTTTGTATCATATTCCAAAAAGGAAACAAAAAGAGTGCATGCAGGTATATTGTATATTGTAAAATAACTACTAAAGCTGCTGATCAAGTTATAATGATCACGTGTCAGGAAATTACAGCCACATTAAAGACACGCTTCCACACACGAGGCATTATTATTTATAGAAAGCATGATTTCGTTTATAACGCGCGTCGTTTGCATACTTTCTATTATGCTTTTGAAAAACCGATACTTTTAAACGTTGCATTATTAGGTCGGTAACCGTCGTTTTAATTAGCAGCCATCGCCACATCTCTCCATTTGTGCTCGACGTCAGATGAGCCCAGAAGTAGTATTGTGTTGGAATACCTTGTTTTACATACCGTGTGTCTCTGTAATGTGTGTGTGTGTATATATATACACACACATGCATATACATAATAAACCATGATATGCATAATATTTATATGCAATGTATATAATATATATTGCAAATAAAGTTTATGCATATCGTGGTTTATTATGTTTTAGGCATATAGAGTGTATGTATATAATGTTATGAGCACTTATGAGCATGGGCGGTTGTGTTTTTCTATCAAACTGTTTTTTTTTTTCTGAAGTTATAATAACCAGTTTTTCACTTATTTGTATGAGCCAGCCGCTCCATTTATTGTTCTATAAGACAGTTGCTATAAGTGTAGGTGACACTGTGTCTTTTTAAGAACTTTAAAGGGGTCATATGATGCTGCTAAAAAGAACATTATTTGGTGTAATGAGTGTAATGAAATGTGTTTATGCGGTTTAAAGTTAAAAAAACACATTATTTTACACATACTGTACATTATTGTTTCTCCTCTATGACCCGCCTTTATGTGCAAAAGCTTCCTTCTCAGCCTCCGTTTCGCTCTTTTTTTTAATTTTTTTTTATTCAGCCTCAGTTTCTCTTTTTTTAGTACCTAACCTTAGCGAAGCCTGTTTTTTTTGTTTGTTTGTTTGTTGTGTTTCCCTAAAAGTGAGTTGAGCTATGCGTGTATGTAGGGAATAGCAGGGGATTGTTGGCATTGTGTGATTGCGATTGATTGATTCTTTTTTTTGTTTGTGTTTTTGGTATTGCTTTGTATTGTATAATAAGCACTTCTGTGTGCAGTTTAAAAAGATTGGCAAGATGCCTGAAACTTCGCATTTAGGCTTGAATAAGAGTGTCGAAAGTTGGGTGTTATATTGGGTGTTATATAATATCCTAAGAAAAAGATATATGTGATTCCTCATATTTATTGGCTTGTTTCAGCATGGAAGATAGGCTAAAAGGTTGCAGAACAATGCTGTGACTCCACCTTAGACCTCACGAGTGAGGTTTCACAGATATTGTGAAGGACACCGTTGTAGATAGGCATACGACTCTGGCTTCCTGTTGCCTCACAGTAATGCATCTAAAGAACAGCATTTCATCAGTTTTGTCCCTGAAAATCTTTCTAAAAGTTTTACCTTCATGTTGTGTAAAAGTTGATGCCGGATCTGTGTGCAATTTATTTGATCTCAGACAGTGTTTTCTTTGTTTGTGATGTATTTATATTTACTGAAATAATACTTTCACTAAGCATTTGGGCACTATGTATGTGCGTATGTATTTACACTGCCATTTAAAAGTTTGGGATCAGAAAGATTTTTAATGTTTATTTAAAGAAGTGTCTTATACTCATCCAGGCTGCATTTATTTGATCAAAAATACAGAAAGAAAACGGAAATATTATGAAATATTACTTTCAGCATCATTACTCCAGTGTTCAGTGTCTCATGATCCTTCAGAAATAGATGTGCTGCTATATATATATTAATACTGTCTGTGTTACCTTAAATGATGCATATTTTCAAAATTGAAATAACGGCCGCTATAACAACAAAATGTTGAATGCTTTTTCTGTTTTTAGCAGTGAGCAAGTTATATTTGCTTTATGACAAATTGCGGTGTACCTAAAACAACTTTTCTTTTGACTCCAGTTTACTTTAGAAACTTAAGCTAAACATCAAATTTAGAGCCCTATGTGGTTGCTAATCTTTTTTAATGATCCATGTGACAGATCATGTTTCATCTCAAGTAACTATGTTTATAATATATTTTTATAATGTATTATGATTGTTCATGCAGTTTATGACCTCTAATCAATTGAGATTGCTACATGGATATTTGTACAATTAAATGTTGGTTTGTCACTCTCCTGGACCATTAAAATTGAACTAGTGAAATAAAAAAAAGTTGATTAAAATTTGTGAAGAACAATAAAATGGAGACCAGTTGCAGCATATAAGTTACAGCATCTCTTATACAAACTTATATATAAAATATAATATTAACCTTAAAACTTAATAAAACATGTCTTGGTCATGGTGCAGTGACATTCCCATTGGAATAACTTGGCAAAGAGGACTTTTCTCAAGGGTACAATTATTATAGACTAACACTGTACTCTCAGCAACCCTTTAGCTGCTTGTCCATTCCCAATTCAGATAACTTGAATTCGGTCACAACTTTTGGCTGTTGGCCCAGATCTTTAACCACAAGGTTACTATTAGGGCCTTTCGCACCGCTTTAGTTCCAGAACTAAATGGACAGTACTAAAGTACTGGGACGATTTTGCGCGAACTATTTCCCAGTACCATTTAAAGGGTTGCATTCACACCGACAGTGTGTACTAGGAACCGGTCTACAGTGTCGTCATTTGTACGCGGCGTTCAACAACGGAAACAAAGAAAAACAACATTAACAACAGGAGGATGGAGGACGCTGTGATCAGAGCTGTGTTTTTGTTGTGTCTCGCGGGTTTCACAATAATGGACATGGAAAGTCGACGTATACGTAAAGCGATTGAAAGAACGGAAAGGAGGACTAAGAATCTCCAACGACAACTGGCAGTGCTACATTTGCTACAAGTGCCTGCACTTCAGCGTCCGTCCATCTATCGCTGTTCTCCATACATGAAAAGGTTCCTGCGGTGCGAAAGGCCCTATTGTGTTTTACTCAGTCTGTGTTACCTTAAATGATGCATATTTTCAAAATTGAAATAACGGCCGCTATAACAACAAAATGTTGAATGCTTTTTCTGTTTTTAGCAGTGAGCAAGTTATATTTGCTTTATGACAAATTGCGGTGTACCTAAAACAACTTTTCTTTTGACTCCAGTTTACTTTAGAAACTTAAGCTAAACATCAAATTTAGAGCCCTATGTGGTTGCTAATCTTTTTTAATGATCCATGTGACAGATCATGTTTCATCTCAAGTAACAGTATAAAAGAGATGAGCACTTGTTTTCTCTCCCCCATTAATGTAATCATCTGTATTTGTAAGTGTAGTCCTGAGTAGATTACATTCCACGGAACTGGCCACACCTGATTTTGTATTTTTTTTCTTTCATTTCAGGTTTTGCCTGTCAGGACAATTCATCTGTGTGAATCACAAGAAATCAACTGATCAAGTTAATGCCCAATTACCTGGCAGTGACTGGCAAGCCTCGACTGCTTCTCTTGTACAGGATGGATCATACGGGTGTACTGAAACTCTTAGTATACGCACTGTGCTGAAATGTAAAAAGTCTGTTAGGAAAATTCGGCAAGTTCCATGGTAGTGTTCCAAGTGTTAAGAGTATGTCCTTCATGAGAATTTCAAATGAATGACTCTTCTTTCACATGTCTCGTAACTTTCAACATATTGTTTCATACAAGCTTAAAACTGAAACTAAATAATAAAGAAATAGCCAAGTAAATTCCTGCTGACATGCCTACCCACCCATTGAT